TTTCCCACAGTACACACAACATGGAAATGCAATTATTTTAGTAAATATAAACTGCTAAACACCTTTTCCCATCAGCAGGTCTTGTGATTTTATCATTGTTCAGCAGAGCACTGGTTAAAACTTGTAGGAGGAGTTTTCTCTAGGAGGATGCAGAACCCCTGATCTCTGTCTGGGCAGTGCTGATTGGCCCTGTGCTGATCAAATGTACTCTCCCAAGAATAAAAACCCCTCTCTTGCAATACACACTAAATTGAGCATGTGCAGAGTGTCTCCACACGATATGTCTTATCAGGAGATAAGAGGGGGACACTGGAAGAAAGGGAGGATCAGAGAAGTCATGATCAAACAGCACTTTTACTGTGCAGAGGATTAACCCCTTAGGTTCCACAGTGAGTATAACATGCATGCTTTACTGCATATACAGACTGATTTTACTGTTGTGGGTTTAGTAAGACTTTAAATTGTAATGCGTTATTTAAGCATGTCTCTAGAATTTCCAAACTCCTGGAGTGGAAATCTAATGACATGGTATTATTTATGGTTTTAATTTTTTTTTGTATGCACTACAGACACAGATTTTGCCACTGTGATATAAAACTGTACGCCCTCTAGCTGTGCTAGAGATAAATTTATTTGTTCACAGCAGTGAAGTGAGCATGTTTGACTGGATTACTTTAGGTCAGGTTGGAGGTCCCTACAGGTCAGGGCTCTGGTACCTCCCCCTGGTTCTGGAGTCTTCCAGAAGATTCTAGAAGCTAGTGGATGGGGGGTGGAGACCAAAATCTGCATATTCATGGGAGTCTGACCAATCCCAGGCAGGTGACCTGGTGGTGTGGCAGATGGACCCAGAATGATGTGAGAGCCTAGCCAGAAGGGGAGTCTGGTGATTGGGTGGAAGATGGAGTGTTGAGGATCGTGAGGCCTGGTAGGGAACCCTGGGGATGGGGGGGGCTCTGCTCTGGAGCTGAGGGGGCTCTGGAGCTGAGGAGGAAGGAAGAAGAAGAGGAGGAAGCTTAGACGAGGGTACCCTGTTCCCCTGCTCAGCATGGAAAACTAGCAAAGCTAAAAGGCCTGAGCAAGCAGTCTTATGCAAAATGCAGGATACAAAGGAGTGAGTGAGTACCTCTACACCCCCAGGGCCTATAAGGGAGAAGGCTGCTAGATGCAATATTCATCATGTTTTCACATGCTGTGTCACAGCTAACCTAATCCCTTTCTCTGGGACACTGGTAAAGCAGCCAGGTGGGATGGCATTTCCTCACCAGCTTTTGGGACTTTGTGAGAGTTCCTCCAAAGGGATCTAGAGCTCCTTAAGTCATATTGCTACAAAAGTCACTTTGCTACTGATCTTTTAAGGGACTGATACCACTCTGACTGCATCAGGATGCATCATATTTTTTGTACATAAACGCAGGAAGTTTGTCCTCAATCTGTTCGTCTAGTCAATCTGAGCATCCTATAACCCCTAAATCCCCTAGAAAACAACAAAGAATAAGCCAATGGACTGGATTCTTGACTTTGTGAGTGTGCCGAAAATGCGTGTTGCCTCACCATGCAGGAAATAGGAGGACCCAATACCCAGCAGCTCCTTAGGAGGTAGCGCTACATAATCTCTTTATAAATAAAACCAAGTTTCGTTACAAGAATATTGCTTTTTTGACAAACAGAAGTACAACATCAAAATATAAAAAAAGACCAAAAAAATCAGTTGCTTCACTTGCTAAAAATCAGAACTGAATTTGTGCAATCAAAATTGGATAGTGGTTTTTTGCCTCTAAAACAGTTCCTAGCATCCAGGCTTTTGACAGCTCCATCTGACAGTTCTTCCAAGGTTACTGCATCGGCTCTATGACAGCTTCTCTCGGTCTTATCACGGCATGTACTGCCCCTCCATGATACCAGTGGCTCCAGTCGGAACTGTTACCATTACTGATGGCTTCATGTTGAGCTAATTCTATGCCTGCTTTATACTGAATCTTGTGAGTGCATTACCATTGTTTCTATACACTGCTCCCAAAAATTAAAGGAACACTTTTTAATCAGAGTATAGCGTCAAGTCAAATAAACTCCTGGGATATTGATCTGGTCAGTAAAGTAGCAGAGGGGGTTGTTAATCAGTTTCAGCTGCTTTGGTGTTAATGAAATTAACAACAGGTGCACTAGATGGGCAACAATGAGATGACCCCTAAAATATTTTTTCCCTCTTCATCTTTTCTGAATGTTTTTCACTAGTTTTGCATTTGGTTAGGGTCAGTGTCACTGCTTGTAGCATGAGGCGATACCTGGACCCTACAGAGGCTGCACAGGCAGTCCAACTGCTCCAGGATGGCATGTTAATACATGCCTGCCATTGCCAGAAGGTTTGCTGTGTCTCCCCAGCACAGTCTCAAGAGCATGTAGGAGATTCCAAGAGACAGGCAGTTACTCTAGGAGAACTGGACAGGGCCGTAGAAAATCCTTAACCCATCTGCAGGACCGGTGTCTGCTCCTTTGTGCAAGGAGGAACAGGATGAGCACTGCCAGAGTCCTACAAAATGACCTCCAGCAGGCCACTGGTGTGAATGTCTCTAACCAAACAATCAGAAATAGACTTCATGAGGGTAGCCTGAGGGCACCATAGAGCTCAATTGCATTTGCCATTGAACACCAGAATAGGCAGGTCCGCCACTGGTGCCCCGTGCTTTTCACAGATGAGAGCATGTTCACCCTGAGCACTTATGACAGACGTGAAAGGGTCTGGAGAAGCCGAGGAGAATGTTATGCTGCCTGTAACATCATTCATGACCGTTTTGGTGGTGGGTTAGTTATGGTCTGGGGAGACATATCCATGGAGGGATGCACAGACCTCTACAGGCTAGACAATGGCACCTTGACTGCCATTAGGTATCGGGAATAAATCCTTGGACCCATTGTCAGGCCCTACGTTGGTGCAGTGGGTCCTGGGCTCCTCCTGATGCATGACAATGCCAGGCCTCATGTGGAGAGAGTATGCAGGCAGTTCCTGGAGGATAAAGGAATTGATACCATTGAATGGCCGCCATACTCGCCTGACCTAAATCCAATAGAACACCTCTAGGATATCCTGTTTCGGTCCATCCGACACCGCCAGGTTGCACCTCAGATTGTCCAGGAGCTCAGTGATGCCCCAGTCCAGATCTGGGAGGAAATACCCCAGGACACCATCCGTTGTCTAATTAGGAGCATGCCTCGACATTGTCAGGCATGCATACAAGCACGTGGGGACCATACAAACTACTGAGTACCATTTTGAGTTGCTGCAATGAAATTTCAGCAAAATGGATTAGCCTGCTGCATTATTTTTTCACTTTGATTTTCGGGGTGTCTTTGAATTCAGTCCTCTGTAGGTTGATAGTTTTCATTTCCATCAAAAGAAGGGGCATCGTTATGTTTCTAACACATTAACCAGTCCATATCAGTATAGATATCCAGCATTATATTTTTCCCATTGAGATCTGATGTGTTTTCAAAGTGTTCTTTTAATTTTTTTGAGCAGTGTACTTTTTTATGAAAAAATCTTGCTGCACTGTTGGCGACCTGGTGCCTATCTCGCCCCTTCCCTTACTATAAAAAGTCCCTCCCCCACATTTTAGCTTAGTTTTCATTCGTTGATGAAAATTGGCATTGATTTTCATCACAGTTTTTGTCAATTGACAAAAATCCAAATTGATTTTCATCTAGATTTTCGCCAATGAAATTAACACTGGTAATAACACATAAAGTAATGTTGGTATAACAGCATTAAGCCTTCACCATTTTCTCAGTACTGTAGCTCAGGTCTCTGCAGTGCACATTTATACCCTAATCAAGAATGGTTTACTTGAGTGCTGGGAATTCAGCCTAAAGCTGGTGTGACATCTGGGGATTGTTTAGCTCATGGTGGCACTTACCAGTGAGTAGAGTCCACGCCAGAAATGATCCTTTCAGGGATTGTTGACCAGCTTTTATTATAGAGTAAAGGAAACATTCAACAAGAGTGCAGTTTGCCCAACAGAGGTATCCACAATCAATGCAAGACAAAGATTCATCTGCAACAATCAGTGTTCTAGCTATTCCTAAACCCTGGTCCCAGGATTGGAGATTTCCTCCTACCCAGATCACTGCGAAAACTAAGGGCTCCAGATCCCAAACAGAGTTTAACCAAGGACCGAGAAAACTGAAAACACAGTTTCCTCCAACTTAAACAAGTACCCTTGAGCCCCTCAACATGTCTAGTTGAGAACCCTGGGCGACATAGTATAATTTATATATTAGGACAGATCACCACATTGTCACACTGGCCATATGCTAATAGATGTCTTTTGTTCAGCCTGCGAGCTGATTAAAGATATCTAGCAGATTACTTCATTCACGCTAACAGATCTGCCCTGCCTGGCTATTGTATTCTGTCTGTTCAGTATATATATATATATATATATATATATATATATATATATATATATACACACTATATTGCCAAAAGTATTGGGACTCCTGCCTTTACACACCCATGAACTTTAAAGGCATCCCAGTCTTAGTCCGTAGGGTTCAATATTGAGTTGGCCCACCCTTTGCAGCTGTAAAAGCTTCAGGTTTAGGGGGGTGTCTATGGGAATTTTTGACCATTTTTCTGGAAGCGCATTTGTGAGGTCAGGCACTGATGTCGGACGAGAAGGCCCGGCTCACAGTCTCCACTCTAATTCATCCCAAAGGTGTTCTGTAGGGGTTGAGGCCAGGACTCTGTGCAGGCCAGTCAAGTTGCTCAACCCCAAACTCGCTAATCCATGTTTTTATGGATCTTGCTTTGTGCACTGGTGCTTAGTCATTTTGGAACAGGAAGGGGCCACCCCCAAACTATTCCCAAAAAGTTGGGAGCATGAAATTGTCCAAAATGTCTTGGTATTCTGACGCCTTAAAAGGTCCCTTCACTGGAGCTAAGGGGCCAAACCCAACCCCTAAAAAACAACCTCACACTATAATCCGCCCCCCCCCCCCCCCAAATGTTACACTTGGCACAATGCAGTCAGGCAAGTACCGTTCTCCTGGCGCCCACCAAACCCAGACGTGTCCATTGGATTGCCAGATAGAGAAGCGTGATTTGTCACTCCAGAAAACACATCTCCGCTGCTCTAGAGTCCAGTGGCATTGTGCATTACACCACTGCATCCCATGCACTGCATTGCACTTGGTGATGTAAGACTTGGATGCAGGTACTTGGCCATGGAAACCCATTCCCTGATCTCTCTATGCACTGTTGTACTAACCTGAAGGCCACATGAAGTTTGGAGGTCTTTAGCTATTGACTCTGCAGACAGTTGGCGACTTCTGCGCTTCAGCATGCTCTAACCCCGCTCTGTCATTTTACGTGATCTACCACTAAGTTGCTGTTGTTCCCAGTTGCTTCCACTTTGTTATAATACCACTAACAGTTGACTGTGGAATATTTAGTAGCAAGGAAATTTCACAGATGGACTTATTGCACAGGTGGCAACCTATCACGGTACCACACTTGAATTCACTGAGCTCCTGAGAGCGACCCATTCTTTCACAAATGTTTGTAGAAGCAGTCTGCATGCCTAGGTGCTTGATTTTATACACCTGTGGCCATGGAGGTGATTGGAACACCAGAATCCAATGATTTGGAGGGGTGTCTCAATACTTTTTTGACAATATAGTGGAATAATATATACACTACATTGTCAAAAGTATTGAGACACCCCTCCAAATCATTGGATTCTGGTGTTCCAATCACCTCCATGGCCACAGGTGTATAAAATCAAGCACCTAGGCATGCAGACTGCTTCTACAAACATATATATGTGTATATATAATATATATATATATATATATATATATATATATATATATTACTGTGATAACGTTATAGGCAGGTGTGAAAAAATGCTGTAAATAAAGAATGCTTTCAGAAAGAGAGGTGTTAATAGTTTCTTTTTATGGAATGTAAATTAACAGAAGAGAAATCTAAATCACGTTAATATTTGGTGTGACTACCCTTTGCCATCAAGCCAGCATCAATACTTAACTGATATATACATACTTCTACATATACTGGCAATGCTGGAGTTGTTCGGTCAGCTATGCCAATTTCATATTTGTATTACTTTTCTTTTGGCAAATTGAAGAGGACAACCCAAAACTACTGACAGATTGATGGAGCTCGAATGCAGTTAGCAGTACACTTCCATAGTTCATGTGATTACTATTGATTAAGTGTCATGAGACATTGTTAGGCAGGCGAAGTTAAGATTTAAATTAATTGGAATTCTTTTTAGAAAGCGAACGCAAACTGAAATCCTTGGCTGTCCGAGATGCTGTCAGAAATATTGAATGAGCAGTGCATGTTGGGAGAATCCTGGCAGCCCCTCTGTTCTCCAGCTGCACTGAGCCTCCCCGGTGTGATAACCTGGTACGGTGCTGGGATTCTGCAGTTGACTGCACACTGATGATGAAAACACTGTGACCTTATTCTGCTCCAAAGAGTCCATAGAAAAGATATGGGAAACGTGCACCGAGCCACAGGACCACTTCACCTTCTATTTTTAGAAAGACTTTAAAGGGAAATTATAATTCATTTGCAGGGAGGACATAATTTGAGTATTATAGGAACAGTTGCCTTTCGGGCTTGTTCACCCCAGGTGTGATGAGCTGCAATAATCAAGGCATGCTTAATGCAAGGGCAGTCTAGGTTTTGAATCATGTGTTCGGGTTTCAAACCGCCTGAAACCCAGACACATTATTCAGCCCTGACTGTGGCTCCTCAGCTGGGTTGCTGGCTGCAGTTGTAAGCCGAAAGTGTCTGTTACACTCTCTCTCACACTGCCCAGACCCAATGCAGTTCTCCCCCCTCCTCTCTCCTACATGGACAGGAGAAAAGAGAGACTGCTGGATCTGCTCCTCCTCCTCCTGCGCAGTTCTCCCCTCCTCTCCCCTACATGGACAGGAGAAAAGAGAGACTGCTGGATCTGCTCCTCCTTCTCTGCGCAGTTCTCCCCTCTCTCTCCCCTACATGGACAGGAGAAAAGAGAGACTGCTGGATCTGCTCCTCCTCCTTCTGCGCAGTTCTCCCCTCCTCTCCCCTACATGGACAGGATGCTGGATCTGCTCCTCCTCCTTCTGTGCAGTTCTCCCCTCCTCTCCCCTACATGGACAGGAGAAAAGAGAGACTGCTGGATCTGCTCCTCCTCCTTCTGCGCAGTTCTCCCCTCCTCTCCCCTACATGGACAGGAGAAAAGAGAGACTGCTGGATCTGCTCCTCCTCCTTCTGCGCAGTTCTCCCCTCTTCTCCCCTACATGGACAGGAGAAAAGAGAGACTGCTGGATCTGCTCCTCCTCCTTCTGCGCAGTTCTCCCCCCTCCTCTCCCCTACATGGACAGGAGAAAAGAGAGACTGCTGGATCTGCTCCTCCTCCTTCTGCGCAGTTCTCCCCTCCTCTCCCCTACATGGACAGGAGAAAAGAGAGACTGCTGGATCTGCCCCTCCTCCTTCTGCGCAGTTCTCCCCTCTTCTCCCCTACATGGACAGGAGAAAAGAGAGACTGCTGGATCTGCTCCTCCTCCTTCTGCGCAGTTCTCCCCCTCTCTCTCCCCTACATGGACAGGAGAAAAGAGAGACTGCTGGATCTGCTCCTCCTCCTTCTGCCCCCCTCCTCCTGTGTCTGCCCACGCACACTCCAATCCCAGCAGTGCTGTACCTCAGAAAGGAGCAGAGTGAGCGGGAAGTTTGAAGCCCTGCAGCAAGCAACTTCATAGTGGATGAAGTATGCCAATGGCTGAGCCTCATCCTGGGTGAGTGAGCTCATCATCCATACACTGTCTCTGACTGAAGTCTCCCCCTTACATTAGCCTCCCTTAAATAAGGGTACCCAGAGTTCTTCTTTACATTAGAGTCCACTGAGCTCCCCCTTACAGTGTAGGCAGAAATTCTGCAGACTCAGATGTAAGAGGGAACTGTGCAAAGTCTGATGTAAGTGGGAACTCTGCAGACTCTGATGTAAGGGGACCTCTGGAAACCCTGGTTAAAGGGTAATGCTGATAAATATGATGTAAGTGGGGACTTCGGTTCCCAGAGACCCCCTTACATCAGAGTTCCCTCCGTACATCAGAGTCTGCAGAGTTCTGTGGATTTAGATGTAAAGGGGAACTCTGCATATTCGGATGTAAAGGTGGAACTCTGTGCATTCAGATGTAAAAGGCAACTTTACAGATTCAGATTTAAGGGGAAACTGCAGATGCAGATGTAAATGGGGAACTCTGTGGATTCAGATATAGAGAGGAACTCTGCAGATTCAGGTATAAAGGGGGAACTCTGTGGACTCTGATGTAAGGGGGAACTCTTGTGATCAACTCTATGGCTGGCAATAAATGCATGCTAAAAATCTGGCATGCTTTATTCAGCCTTCCCATAAATGGATTGAATCTCGGCCTGTTCCTGCTGAACTGGCCAAGATTCAGTCTATCTCTGGCTGGCTTAATTAAGCCTGATAGTATAACTATGAAGACATAGTCACCATCAAATGGCAGTATACAGAATCCAATCAGCTTCGTAATCCATGTCATCTTGTCTGGTTCGAACAATAAGAATCTCATTCAAAAAAGAAATGTAATTTTTGTTCTATCCTTGTTAAAATAAAAGGTTCAATATGTATATTTCACTTTATTTTTTAATTGAATGGTATTTGCCCTTTGAAAATGATAACACTATTATTAGAGACTATTAATATGTACGAATGTATGAGGAGTCTGGCAGTAGAGACAGAACATTTATTCGCCACTGAGTGCTAATATCAGCAGATCTGAAAAGTGCCTTACAAATGAAACAACGATTACATTATTGAACTGTTACCTTCTGTCTGATCCACATATACTTACACAGCGTGGTTAGGGAAAAACACTGACCTTCACTATTTGTATTGAAAAAGCTTTCAATAGCCTTACATCTAACAGTACATTTTAGCTAAAGGGAGAAAAGTGAGTTCAGGACATCCGTGCTTTCAGCTGCACAGTGGAAGAACCCAAATGGGACTAAATGATTCTTTTTAAGCGTGAGTCATTAAATGAAAAACACTCATGTACAGTCTTTGAAAAAGGAACACTTTGAGCAACCAAAACCTAAAATGAGCCTTATGTAATTATTCAGTCTGTTCATGTGAACAGAACACTTTTTATTTTGCTAGTCTGGCTCAGACGTAATAGAAAAACCAGGTAGTCATCTGAAATGTTGAAACGGCTTATTAGATATGAGCATTAAATGAAACCCTAACAATAACTGGCTATGAGTCCCATCATTTCACTAAGCTCAAATATCATTTGACTTTTTTTTTTTTTTGCAGTCATGTGATTTAACCCATGTGCCTCCACACTTCTGCATGTGACAAAGCTTTGAGACTGAGCATTGTGTGAAAGCACACAATCCCTGACAATCTTCTAGATGTTCATGTTCCTCAATGCTAGTCACTGGGTAGTGCAGACTTTAGCTCTGCAATCTGCTGATCAGTTGCTCTATTACACTTGTAGCACCACCTCTGTGGGGGTCACTGGAAGATGATGGTACCCAAAGGTTGCCCTGACCTTGCAAGCCTTCTAAAACCTCTGACACCCTGGGTTCAGACATGGCTCACACAGAATCACACTTGCAATGACACCAGATTGTAATAAAGCAATTGAATATTTACTGGAAGTTTTCAAGTCAACAAAGGCAAAAGATTGTTAATGCAGATATGTTTTAGTATAAACCGTTTGGTCTTTGAGGGTTTAGAGTACAGATATGCAATGAAGGTGATTCAAACAAAAACTACAAGTTGGCCCTTAAAGAACCTATGACCCCAATGTATAAAAGGAAGAAGGAAGACTTTCCTGTGTCAATCCTCTCCCTTAAAGGCCCTGATGCTACGAGCCCAAGAACTATCAACACACTTTGTTTTGGACTAGGTCACCTACAGACCATTTACCGTGATCTACCAGTGAGCCAAATTAATATAGAATTACGTGCATGTGGAAGCAAGACACTGACACTGTTGAAATTTGCCAACTTCCTAAAATTCTGTTTTATTGAGGAACTAACAGTTTCATTTATAGGGCTTATGATGCAGGCAAAGCATATACAGTCAGGTCCATAAATATTGGGACAGCAACACAATTCCAACATTTTTGGCTCTATACACCACCACAATGGATTTTAAATGAAACAAACAAGATGTGCTTTAACTGCAGACTGACAGCTTTAATGTGAGGGTATTTACATCCAAATCAGGTGAACGGTGTAGGAATTACAACAGTTTGCATATGTGCCACCCACTTGTTAAGGGACCAAAAGTAATGGGACAATTGGTTTCTCAGCTGTTCTATGACCAGGTGTGTGTTATTCCCTCATTATCCCAACTACAATGAGCAGATAAAAGGTCCAGAGTTCATTTCAAGTGTGCTATTTGCATTTGGAATCTGTTGCTGTCAACTCTCAAGATGAGATCCAAAGAGCTGTCACTATCAGTGAAGCAAGCCATCATTGGGCTGAAAAAACAAAACAAACCCATCAGAGAGATAGCAAAAACATTAGGCATGGC